ACCGCTCACACCTGCCTTATTACTGTGCTCCGCTTCTCCTCCTTGCAGAGTAGTGAGCCCTTCTTTCTCCCTCACCAAACCACCATGCAGTGGTTACATTTAACTCATTATACAACCTCTGCCATATGTTTAACAAGCTCTAGTCATTTAGGAATAGTTCTCCCAATGGAAACTACAGGGAGTCACTTGGTCTCAAGGTCTTGGAGCCATGCAGCTTCCAAACCTTGTTTCTAAGCAATCACAGAGAGTTTGTTTTCACTTCATCAGCTATCACAATGCTGCTGTTGATCCTAACACTACACTTTGCATTTTCTATTACAGTCTGATATTTATGCCTATTCTGTATCATGGTACAAAGGTTTTTTTAAGTGAGTTCAGTTTTCATAGTTGCAAATATATTCGCTTAGTCCTGTAAACCACTCCTTAGTGGTTCCAAAACTCCTTTTTGACGTGCAAGTCTCACTGTGCCCTAGGGAAGCACAGGGAAGAGCATGAAAGTAGCTGCTGGAGACTCATGTCATAGGTCAGCTATAGCTATAGGTAAGCTGATTGATGGGAAAGGCCCTATCTTTGATATGTTACATAGAAGAAAACCGAACAAAGCATGATTCAGGAGTTTGGAGGTGAGCAGCATGGAGAATTCAGAGCAGAAGACTGGCATGGGTTATGGATCTGAGCTAGGAAGAGACTATGTTCTCTACCTTGATAAAGAGAAAAGATAGGAGAATATGATTGGAGCATTATTAGTCATTATAACCATGTTGAGAATGAGCAAAGGCAACTCTTCCTTGTGAAGAACTGAGGGTGAGGGTTGTTTGGAACAAAATGGAATCTGGACTGCAAAAGTTAATTTGTGAGGTGTCCCATAATAAAATGTATGTTTCCATAAGAGACAAGACAGGGAGGAGAAGTAGAGGAAGATGAAAAATAGGTCAAATACAGAATCTTATGGCGTAGCTAGGTTGTAGCTGAGAAGTATCTTGCAAAGATGTGATGATTGAAGGGATAAGATGATAAACATGACAGCTGCAGGAGCCATAAAGGACTAGATTTCAGAGAACGCTCAGCAGTACCCAGTCGCTGTCCTGTCAGAGAAAATGCGCATGTTGTGAAGTCGTGCGAGTTGTATTATAGAGACTTTCCACAGAGTTTGGAGATCAGAAAAAAAAAAAAAAGACCGAACAGTGCTTAGGATAAAACTGAAGAAGACACTTCCAAATAACGACTACAGACTGTATACTCAGGATTGTTTCAGAGATTGTGATGCTAGAAGGGATGATTATGATCATTTCAAGAAGAAATAAAGAATAGGCAGGTATGGTACTAACCATCTTTATTTCCACAGGAAAATCATACATAATTTTGTCCGGCTTTTAAAAATGTGAAACACAGTAATAACTTCCCAGAAATGCTGTCTTTTTTTTTTCCAGTACTGATGACTTTTGCACCTCAGTTTCATGGTTACATAGAGACATATGACTATTCCTTGTTCTTGTGAAAAGCTTCTGGTTTGGGGACAAGACATTTCTGAGAATGTTCTGAGCATCTCTGAGAAAATGCTAAGAGATGCAGAATCTACACATTGTAGCACATGCTCAAAGTCCAAGTAATTCAAGAGAAGTTCTGTATATGATATTATTCAGCTACAGGACGACGCTACTGCAGCATGGAAAATCACTAGCAGACTAACAGAGATAAATGTATTACCCAGTATGACAGAAGGATGAAAAACGACTTTAAAATTTCAGTAAGATTAGGGGAGACAAAACAGCCACAACATTACTGAAGTACAAGGCTTTATGAGGGTTTAAAAACAGATGCTTTAGAATTTGGAAAGGTCATCATAAGCTACAAAACCTAAAGAAAAGGCTCTTCTTTCTGACGAGCTAAAAATGGAGATATATTAAATAAGGAAAGTCTAAGTTTCTTCTCAGTCTTTCAAAGAACACAAAGCAAAAAGAAAACAGCTTTGTGTTCTTTGCAGAGAAGAAGAAAGCAAACAATAACAAAAGTCTTCCGGACTGACCTTTTTTTCAGGATCCATGAGAACAATTTAGCAAGTGAAGACACAAACATACTTGAAAATACCTTAACTTACTTTACAGATGAAAACTGGAAGATTGTTGAAATGGCATAAAGACTAGTCAAAATCTGGTGATTATGAACTAGCAATGTGAATAAAAGTTCTAATAACTGTACTGTTTGGAATCCGTATTATCACTGGTAACACAGCTCTATACATTACCATCTTTCTTTGGTCTCTCTAGCCCACGCTGCCTTTCTGGTTTCTATCACTTCATGGAATTGTTCACATTTCCTTCCTTTTTTGACTAATGCAAGACTAGTGACCAGTGTCCACCTGTGTAGCTCATAGCACTACTGCAGGTCTGGCTTTAAAAAAAAAAAAAAAAAAAAAAAAGAGAATAAAAAGCATAAATAAATAAATAAATAAAGCAGCTGAAAAAAAATCAGGTATTGGGAAGTACCCTCAGTCTGATACGCTAAACAGAGAGATCCAGCAAGGTGTCACTCAGAACTTGGATGTAAAGATGGATAAGAAGTATTCAGAGCACCAAATTAGTTTTAGTTAGAAGATTTCCTCCTTCCTCATGATCAAGAAGGTGAGGCAAGTCACTGGGCTCTGAGTGCACTGATTACCCTTAATGGCTCTGACCTGCCTCACCTACAGTCGCACACTCTGCCCGTGGCCCCCAGGAGAGGCTGGTCAGGGCCATTAAAGTCTATTAGTGCAGTCAGCCTCTGAGAGTAGTAGGATCAGAACCACCTACCTGACTTTCAGGTATTTAGCCTTCTGTGCTTCAGTTTCTTTATAAGTGGTGATAGTGATAGTTTCCTTACAAAGGAAGAAATGAGGAAAGCCTTAGGGTTATCATATCTGAGAATAACTGTCAGTATAGGAAGTTAACTTCAGATACACTGATTAATGCTAAATATTTAACAGTCTGGTTAAAAAAAAAAAAAAAAAAAAAAAAAAGTCCATGATCATTCATAAGAGTTTTTGGCTTTGCTGAGGTGCTTTCTGGAGTCCTCCCAAGTCTGTGGGGGTTAATTTCCATAGGATATCCACACTTGAAGCACCGACTTTCTTCACTTCACTGTGTCCCTCTGGGATATTTTTTCACAGTCCATGATAACTCCACACAGATTTAAAGCATTCAGAGCAAAGCGTAAGAATAGGAAAAAAAACCTCAGTGCTCTCAGACTTGCTTTGCTTGGACACCTGCAGCTGCTATGACTGTGACCAAGAGTGCCACAGAGGGGTATTGGCAACACTAGTTGCCGGGGAAGCCGCTCTTGGCTCTATGCCTGGTCTGTCCCTGTGCAGGATGCCTTTCTCCAGGCCTCTCTCTCCTGCTTTCCTAACATGTTGCTCTCACACTTGCAAACTAGACTCTTGTGGAACTCAGCTAGAGGGTTTCCTACAAAGGGCTGCTGCCCATGGTTGCAGTTCACTTCTCCTACTGCCAGTTCTCCTGCAGTTTGGGAGCTCTGCCTTACACTCCAGAAGCCCTCTCCAGCTACACTATCTGCATTTTGGCAGACCGAACCAACCTACCCTCACCCTTGCATTTGTGTTTCCTTGGCTGTGATTCAGCCTAGTCTACCAGTTCCATCAAAGACACTCTGCTCCCTACAACCTTTGAGTGTTCAAGGCTCCAGTGATCTTGTTAAATCTTGGAAAAGTTTAAAAGTTTTTTTTTTTTTTCACTTTAAAGGGCTTTTTCCAAGCCCTTTTTTAACTTGTCATTTTATATGAAACTATTTACAGACCAAAACCTTTGACTTGTTATGGGCACAGGCAGGCAACAAGGCATAACCGAGCAGGGAGAAAGGGTCACAGAAAATATTCACAAAAGATAATTCCAGGATGTTCTCTGATGATCCCTGCATTCCCTCTCATAGTCCTTCTGGCTGAACATTCCCACCTGTTGGGCACTGAATGGGGGGTCTTGGTAGAGCCAATGAAGTGGCTAAATTTGGTAGTGTCTCTTGCAGGTCCTTAATGCTCAGCCACCAGCACATCCATCACCTGTCCTTATGCTCTGCTACCCAGGTTGATCGCCAGCATAAATTAAAATAACCACCTCTGAGCACAGGCACACTGACGACTTACAGGCACACAGGGCACCTGTAGGCATCTGGTGAGCACATTTATGGTAGATCTTTGGGTGGCTCTTTGGGGATGCGGAATGCCACGTCTCTGGCTGACTGCTGTCCAACGTTACTACTCCTCCACCAGACGATCCTATCTTCAAGGTTCCCAGGATGATTATTTCTGCTGCCTTGTTGTGATTATTAAGTGGTTTCAGCCGCTTCCTGCCCAAACAAGGCCTACGCTCCATTTTCCAAAACTACTCCCGGTTCTTTTTTTATTATTGTTTTCCTTTTTTCACGCGCACCCCCACTGGCGCCGCAGGCCACTCCGGAACGCAGGAGCGCCGCGGCCAGCGCTGCGCAAGGACACGCCGCGGCCAATGGGCCAGGATCGTGCGCCGCACTCGGCCCGCCCGCCGCGGGGCGGGGCTCTCTGGGCAGCGGCTTCCTTCAGACCCCGCTTTGCACAGCGCGCCAGCG